CTGAGATCATGACCTGAGCCGAAGGCAGATGCTCAACTGACTGAGCCACCCAGGCGTCCCTCCTGGATGTTTTTCTTAAAGACTTATTCTCACATATGCAAACATGATGCTTAAACAAAGATATTCATTACAGCACTGTTTGGGATAGCAAGAGATTGGAAACAACCTAAATGCCTAACGGTAGTTAAATTAATTATGGCACAACCATATAATGAAATACTCTGCAGCTGTTAAAAAGAAAAAAGCAGATTTTTTGTTTTGTTTTGATGTGGAAAGATTTCCAAATTGCATTAAAGTTTAAAAAGATAAAAAACACTATATAGAGTGTATCACCACTTGTGAGAATGGGAATATCTGTATCTATCTATCCATATCCATGTTTGTAAAGGCCCACCTGAATGATCTTTGGAAGGAGATATAAGAACCTGATAACACTGGTGCTTTCAGGGAGGGTAATCAGGTGGCTGGGAGACAGGGGAAGGAGGGAGATTTACTTTTCATTATACACCTATTTGTATGTTTTATATTATTTTACTATATGAATGTGTTAGCTACTCAAAATGAAATAATTTCAAAAATGATATATGATGTACTTTTCCTTTAATGGGTAATTCCATTTTATTCAGTTTAAAAAGTGTAATTCCATTTTAGTTTTTATGTATGAGTCTATTAAAAAATATGAATATCGGGCATCTGGGTGGCTCAGTTGGTTAAGCGACTGCCTTCGGCTCAGGTCATGATCCCGGAGTCCCGGGATCGAGTCCCGCATCGGGCTCCCTGCTCAGCGGGGAGCCTGCTTCTCCCTCTGACCCTTCCCCCTCTCATGCTCTCTCTCTATCTCATTCTTTCTCTCAAATAAACAAAATATTAAAAAAAAAAAATGAATATCCACACATAGAAAAAAGACTGGAAATCAAAGTGCAAACAGAGGTTATCTGAGGTCAAGCCAGTGTTCCCTCAGGCGCTCTGAAGTTCTCCTTTGCTAAATGTCAGAAGCATCTCAGGGAGAAGGGCTGCTAAAAACCTTTCTGGGGAAGACTCCTGTGTCTGAGAATTTATCGGAAGACTCTGGAGTGACCCAAAGGATGGAGCAGGAGTCCCATCACAGAGAGTCAGGCTTGAAACAAGCAGGATAAATGAGTGAACTCACATTTCCCCACCACTCTCATCTCTCCGTCCCAGGAAAATGACTGGTTTCATGCCCTGGTCAACTAGAGAGAAAGGATGATCACAGAGCAGATTCTTCTGCTGAGTCTGGGATCAGAGATGGCCAGAGGAACTAAGCTCACACCCACCTCCACCCTCCAGATTCACAGACGGCTGAAGAACACTTAGGGCTTCCCAAAGGAACAGAACGGGGATTCATGCCAACTTTACTCAGCTCTCAAGGACCCAAGTACCCCCAGATAGCATATGGTGACACAATCATGCCCAGTTTACAGGTAACAAGTCCCACATATAACCAAGTGCTTGCCTGCCCCATCACTTCTACGGTTTTAAGTACAGTGTGTGGGAGACACATGTTCTCCAGGGTGGCCAGAGGGATCAAAAATCTTGTCTTCTCCAGACAGCCTACCCCAATAGCCAGACTGATCATTTGTCATTTTTTAAATTTTTTCCTTAGCAAATCCTCTGGGTGTTTTCCTTGCAGACCGGGTTTCAGCCAACGTAGACTTGGGGCTACCTGCCAATGCTCGAAAACTAGATCTGGCAAAGGACACCAGTAGTTTATGTCCTCAGAACACCTACAGAAAGATTTTACAAAGTATTCGCACTGGTGTTAATTTGCTTGACCTTTAGTCCAACTCTGGAAAGCAGAAGCGAGGAGCTGCGCTAGTGAATTAGCTTCCTAGCTTGGTTACAGTTGTAACAAAGCACCCTCTGGTGGGGGCGTGGGAGGATCCTTTCCTTGCCTTTTCTGGTTTCTGCTGGTTGCTGGCAATTCTTGGGGTTGGGGGCAATTCTTGGGGCTCCTGGCAATTCTTGGGGCTCCTGGCCTTATAAATGCACCATTCTGATCTCTGTCTCTGTTGTCACACGGCTGTCAGCTCACGGCGTGTCTCCATCTTCATAAGCTGACCTCTTCTCTTATAGGGACACCAGTGATCCCAAATTAAGGACCCACTTACTCTGGTACGACCTCATCTTAACTAATTACATCTGCTATGACCCTATTTCCAAATAATGTCACAACTCAGATACTGAGTTCGAGGACTTAAACGTATCTTTCTCAGGGGCACAATTCAATTCATCACAGCTGGAAAAAGACATACTAAGAAGTTCTGTGGCATTTTCCTCGGCGGACAGGGGGGTATGTGTGTTGGGGGACAGAGAGACGGACCCGGCCCTGCAAACATCCAGTCACCTCTGTAACGGGTGGTGGCTCAAAGCTAAGCATACCGTGCAAACTCTTCCAGAGAACTTTCCCTTCTGCTGCTGTGCCTTCACCGAGGACCCACTACTGTCCATGTGCTTTGAGGTGAACCAGGCCCTGGGACATATCTCGTCCAACCATGAGGCATGCTCTGAAGGGCGTATTTTTGCCCCCAGTTCCCAGATGAGGGCCGTGGTCCGCCTGCCTCCCACACCAGGTGCCGGGCAGGCCGTGTGCCGTGTCTGGGGACCTGGCAGGTGAGCACGATCCGCAGTCCATCGGCCCTCTAGCTCGGCGAGGCTTGAGGGAAGCCCGCTGCAGGGAAGCCCGCATGCACCTTGAAATAATCGGTTTTCCCTCCCATTCTGTTCTCCCAACAGGAGACCAAGCCGAATGCTTTTCTGGGCTTATTGCTTCTCACAGAGAAGGAAAAGCAGTTTGGAGGGAGGAGGCTCTAGGTACTGGCCTGGGGCTATAGCCCACCTCCTGACACCCCCAGGTTTGGGAGGCTAGGAAGTGCTGGTTTTCAAACTGTTTTTTTTTTTTTTTTTAAAGATTTTATTTATTTATTTGACAGAGACACAGCGAGAGAGGGAACACCCGCAGGGGGAGGGGGAGAAGGAGAAGCAGGCTCCCCGCAGAGCAGGGAGCCCGATGTGGGACCCGATCCCAGGACCCCGGGATCATGACCTGAGCCGAAGGCAGTCGCTTAACCGACTGAGCCACCCAGGCGCCCCTCAAACTGTTTTTTAAAGCCTGCAAAGCCCCAATCTTTTATTTTTTTTTTAAAGATTCTATTTATTTATTTGACAGAGAGAGACACAGCGAGAGAGGGAACACAAGCAGGGGGAGTGGGAGAGGGAGAAGCAGGCTTCCTGCTGAGTCCGATGCGGGGCTCGATCCCTGGACCCTGGGATCATGACCTGAGCCAAAGGCAGATGCTTAACGACTGAGCCACGGAGGCATCCCAAACCCCCAGTCTTTTAAAAAGAAATGGAAGAACCCCCGACTTATAAAACAGATGCAAACTAGGATGAAGGTGGACCTCTCTCATACCTCCCCAAATGGCCCCCTCAGCAAACTCCAGGGTTCTGACCTCCTGAGAAAAATGGCTGAAAACCACATAAAATGCAAAAAGCAAGTAACAAAATGACGCCCATGTATTCACCCTATTGTGAGATTAAAACGTTCATCAGACATAGTCTGTGGCAATTTGACATGAAGAAATTATTCTTAAAATGCTTCCAGTCTTCAGATGGTACTGTGGTTATGTTGTTGTTTTTTTTTTTAAAGATTCCTTATCTTTTAGTACATTCTGAGATACTTCGGATGAGATGCTGTGACGTCTCTTTGCCATTTGTTTCAAAATGAGGCGTGGCAGAGATGAAGCAGGGCTGAGGAATGCTGGAGTTGAGTGGTGGTTACACGGGGCTTCCTTATGTCCAAACCAGCAAGTTGGCATGGCTAAATCTAACTAACTCTGTTCCTTCTATCCTCGGATAGGGGCGGCACTGTCCATAATTTTAAAAAGCGTACTTAGGGGTGCCTGGGTGGCTCAGTTGGTTAAGCGACTGCCTTCGGCTCAGGTCATGATCCTGGAGTCTCAGGATCGAGTCCTGCATCGGGCTCCCTGCTCGGCAGGGAGTCTGCTTCTCTCTCTGAACCTCCCTCCTCTCATGCTCTCTATCTCTTTCTCTCTCTCAAAAAAAAAAAAAAAAAAGCGTACTTAGGCTAAAAAGTCTGAATTGTGCAGAATGAGCAGCGTGACTTCTGTAATGCTTTATTATTATTATTATTATTGATGTAGAGTTGCCATACAATGTTATATTAGTTTCAGGTGTAAAACAGCGATTCCACAATTCTATACACCCGAAGCTACCCTCTGTCACCATACAGCACTATTACAATACCATTGTCTATATTCCTTCTGCTGTGCATTCATCTCTCTGACTTATTTATTTCATAACTGAAAGTTTGCACCTCTTTTTGGTAAAGCACTTTACCGAGGTATGACTGACGTGCAAAAAGCTGTCGTTATTTAATGTATACAACCTGATAAGATTAGAGGTGAGTATGCATCTGAGAAACCGTCACCACAACCTATGCCCTGAGCCTATCCATCACCCCCAAAAGTTTCCTCCTGCCCTCTATTATTATTTGTGCGTGTTAGCCCCCGGCTCTAGGCTGTACAGTAGATCTCTAAGACTTACTTACCTTGTGTATCCAACAAAGTTTGTAACTCTTGATCCCCTTTATCAATTTCGCCCCTCCCCCCACCTCCCGCTGCTATAATTCTTTAAAAAGCAATTAAAAGTTACAGTTCCAGGAGCGTTGGGAGGGTGGGGAGAAAGGGGAGCGCAGCCGCGTACCCCGCCCCTCAGCCCGGGTGATCCCGACTTGCCACCCCCTGCGGTTCGCACCCGTGCCCCCCAAACTCCGCCGGGCAGCGGGTGCCCCATCTGTCCACCGGTCCGTCAGTCCCTGCGCCCTGCCACCCGGCCGCCCAGCCCGCGGCCGGCGGGGGCTTCCCCCCCTCCCGCCCCCCGCCCAGCGCCCTCGGGCACCCCCTCCTCGCCGCGCCGCTCGCCCGGCCGGGCCCGCAGCCCCGGGGCGGCTCTCCACTCACCCGCCGCGCTGCGGCCCCGCCGCGCTCCTGCGTCGCTGCGCGGCGCACGAAACTGAAAGCGGGCGGAGAGCGCCCGGGCCAGCGCTGGGAGCCGGCGGCCGCTGCCGGGAAATCACGTGGATTCGAATCGCCGCGGCCCGCGGAGGCGCGGGCTGGGCGGGGGCGCACGGCGGCTCCCGCGCTCCCCACGCCGTGCGCCCCGGCCCAGGTACGGCCCCGGGAGGCGACTCGGAGGCAGGGGCGCGCGCGCGGGGAGGGGGTCAGGGCGCCGCGGGAGAACCCCGGCTGAGTTCCTCTCTCCCGGCCTCCCGGCACACTGAGGGGGCGGGGACGGGATGGCAAAGAGGAGAACCCAGTGGGCCTGGCCCCTGGCCCGCGGTGCTCTCAGAATGAAAGGAGGGGAGAAGGGGGCAACAGCAATAATTGGTCTTACTAACTGCGCCTTGGGCTTCCTGACCCGGTGCCAGACACTATCTAGGAGTTTATCCAGTCCTCAGAATAACCCTAAAGTGCAGACGCAAAGCATGGCCCCATTTTACAGATGAGCAAACTGAGGCTCAGAGAGGTAAACGAATTTGCCCCAGTCGCAGAGGCAGAGATGAGAAAGAGAGGAACCAAGAGGGCCGTTGGGACAGAAGTAAGATGAGCTGGCTCCCCGCCGGAGGGGCTCTGCAGCAGTCCTGAACGGGGGCTGGTCTAACTACCCCTCCAAAGCTCCACTACAACCTCCTGGCTCTTCTGCACCCCTCCTGGGACAGGGAGCTCCCCTCCTCCTGCAGAGGCCACAGCCATCCTGGGGACAAGTCAGCCCGCTAGGAAGGGCTTCCACTCACCTCCCCGGGACAGCTTGCACTCTCCGCTCACTTCCGTCCCATGGGAGTATGAGGGTACTGCAAGGTAGTGGTCAGGTCAGTGTCAGACACGCCTGCACTTAAGTCCTCCTCTCCAACGACTGGAGACACCTTTACTGGAGCTACATTGACCCTGCTAGAGGCTCTGCCTGCCAGTCTCCATGAGTGTTCCTGGTCCGCTTAGTGAGCCACACCCTTGCTTTGGGCCCTGAGAGATAAAGAGAAACAAGCCCAAGAGAGGGACGCCTGGGTGGCTCAGTCCATTAAGTGTCTGCCTTTGGCTGAGGTCATGATCCCAGGGTCCTGGAATCGAGCCCCCTGCTCAGCGGGGGTCTGCTTCTCCCTCTCCCCCTGCCATTCCCCCTGCTTGTGCTCTCTCTCTCTCTGTCAAAATAAATAAATAAAATCTTTAAAAAAACAAAAACAAGCCCAGGAGAGCACCTGAAGGGGCCAGAGCAGGGGTTGGAAGGAACCTGGCTCAGAAGATGGTGGCCTCCCATCAAATGTTCCCGAAGGTGAAGGGGCATCTCTCTTGCCTCCTAGCCAGCAAAATACAGGCCACGCCCTTTGGCACCTTCATGATGTGGACCCTGACCTCATCTCTCTCCCTCTCCTCTTTGTTCTCTGTGCTACATTGGCCTCCATTACGTTTCTTTTTCTTTTGGGAGGGAGAGGGGCAGAGGGAAAGGGAGGCTGAGAGAGAATAAGCAGGCCTCACACCCAGTGCAGAGCCCAATCCCATGACCCTGAGATCCTGACCCAAGCCGAAATCAAGAGTCAGATGCTTAACCAACTGAGCCACCCAGACACCCCTCCACTAAGTTTCCTGAATCTGTCATGATTGATTCCTTCTGCCCCAGGGACTTTGCACATGCTAGTCTTCCTCTTTCTCCATCCCATTTGGCCAATGTGGCATCCTTCCTGGAGCCTGGTGCCTCCCAAGGCTGGGATGATAGAAAACTTTTGTATTATGGCCTGAGGGTAAGAAGAAGACCTGCTTTGAGCATAAGGTGGTCTAGCTGAAAATATGCTTATGAGAGATGTCTCTTCCAGGTTAAAGCCTGATTTGCTTTTTAGAGCCTCCAGAAAGCTGACCTCTGTGAGGGCCCCTTGCCCTCCCCACCATCCTCAGGATCTGAAGCCCCCTGTGCCCCCCTATTTCCTGTCCAACACTGGAATCACATGGAACAGAGGATGAGTGACAACTCAGGCAGGAAGCTGGTCAGAGGGGGAGATGGCACCTTTAATGCCCACCTTTGGGTGGGCAAGGGGGCTGAAAGGGGCCAGTGCTGGGGCGGGGGTGGAGAGAGAAGCTCTCAGACGTGCTCTCTGCCGACCAAGGGGAAGACAAGGAAACCCAGCCAGGCCAAGTCCAGCTTCCACCTTCTCCTCTCAAAGCCACATGGGCAAGCAGATGTCCAAAAGAAAGGCAAGGCCAGCTCAGTGTATCCTGTGGGCAAGGGAGCAGAAAGCTCTCGACAGGGCCTTCCAAAATACCCCCTGCACACCCCAGTAAGGGGGTCTGAGTTTCCCCCATTAGCATCACCTTATATGGATGAATATCCTACAATGTCGGGGTCAAAAGGGAATTTGGAGAGCATCAAAGCCAACACTCTCATTTTATAGGAAGGGAAACTGAGGCTCAGGGCTGGGCATGCACCGGGTCCCAGCCTTCCAGCCCAAGGCTCTTTCTGCCACATCAGGCTGCCAGTCGGAGACCTGTGCCCTTAAAGAGGGTTGAGCCATCCTATGTGGTGGCAGAGATATTATTCTCTGGGTCAACCCAGAAACAGGGATCCACGCTCTGGCCGGGGCATGGGCATGCAATGCTACCAGCAGGGAGAGCTGCCTCAGAGGAAGGGGACCCCGGACTCCCCGTGGCTGGAGGGTCAGAGGCATTTGCAGCTCTGCCCGAGGAGAGCTAAAAGGTGACTGAGTGCCTCCCCATCAGGTTCATGTCCCCCAACACTCCTCCAGCCCACGTCCGACCTCAAGGATGACCACTGTGGTGATCACTGAGCACAGGAAGCTCTGGACAGACTTGGAGCTTCTGTGCCCATCACAGGGCCAGTGTGAGTGCTCCCTGGGTACCCAGGTGACCCACGGGGCAGATGGCCCTACAACCCACGCAGGCACTCATCTATATGCCCGTGATAAAGCACATCCCATCCCACAACTCTCGTCCTGCTCCCCACGTCAGGGAGTACCTCTCCCGAGTGGTGCCTCCTAAGCCCTGCGGTGGGCTCTGACTGTCATCACATTCCACAGAGGGGAAACCAAGGCCCGGCCATTGCTCTTGCACCTCTCAACCCCCTTCATCCATACTATCTGCAACCTAAGGGCCTTCCCAACAGACACCCCAGGGAGAAGGGTGGGTCACAGGAAGAGACACGGGGAAGATCGTACGGTCTTATTGCCTTTGGTCCTGTTGCCTCATTTCCTTGAGGGCCTCCTGTCTGCTCTGTAAGATAGAAGGAACTACAGAGCTTGTCTCTTCCCGTCTCCCCAAGAGCATTTCCCTCTCTCAAGTTGGCAACAGTCTTCAGTTTAATTCTGAAATCAAAAAGAAAGGAGAATGTGGCCCTCTGTTGCCCTCCCCCCCCAGAAAAGAAACTCTAGGAAGAATCCTAAGTGCCTCTGCCTAGTAGTTAAGACCCTTCCTAAGAGAGCCGTCTTGAGCACTCTCTTGAGATCTGCCGTCCCAGCTGCCAGGCCTTGGCTCAGAGGGTCCCTTGCTCCTGCCACCCCCTCCCTCTGGTCTTCATGCTGATTCTTCCTCCTATTTAAGAGTCTCAGTAGGAGGGGTTGCCTGGCTGGCTCAGTCCGTAGAGCATGCAACTGGGGGTCATGAGTTCGAGCCCCGTGTTGGGTGTAGAGCTTACCTAAAAGAAAAAAAAGTCTAGGTAGGGGTCCTGTCTCCCCAGCAGTCAGGTCATAAGTCCTGGAAGGAAGGCGCCGTATTTCCCCACCAATATCTGTGCCTGACTCCAGAGGGACCAGGAAGAGATCTGGGGAGTCCGCCACCGCCCCCCCCTCAGCAGCACATACTGGGAACCCCAGAGGCTTAGGAAGAGCTTCCTTTTGGAGTAGGGGGCCTAGCTGGTAGTGAAGGCATCCCAGGGGAAAGTGAGCAGATTCACTGTGGTCCTCTCAGGACCCTGGACTTCTCTGCACAGAGCGGTTGGAGAGTGTGGGCAACCACGGACCCCGGGGAATCGTGGGGTCAGGCCTCACTCTTGATCTTCTGAAAGATCAAGTTAGTGGTTTCCCGGCATCTGTGGCTTTGGGGTCACGTGGGCCCTTCCTGTCCCAGATTCTCACTTATCCACCTTCCCAGCAACTTCTTCCTGGTGATCAGAAAACAATGTGCACCAGGACCTTCCCACACAGCAATGGCCTGTGCCTCCAAAATGAAAGCATCGTCAAAGCAAGGTGGGGCTTCGTCTGCTGGCGGTAGAATTGACTTGCATTTTTACTCTCTAGAGACCAGGTAGCCGGGCGATACTCCAAGTGTGGACCCTCCGCAGGCAGCTTCCAGGCAGAGAGGGAACTTGTTAGAAATGCAGGCTCCTCCCCACCAAATCTGAAGTGCTGAGGGTGGGCCCAAGAATCTGTTTTAGCAAGCCCTGCAGGTGATTTTGATATATGCCCAAATGTGACCCACAGATAACTTTCGAATAGCCTCCTGAGAGTGAGTCACGAGTTCTGTTACACTTTCCCTGACTACTCGTTTTTTTTCCTTCATAACTCTGGGCACAGTTAGTGGTTAGACAGTCTTTTGCTGGTTAGTTATCGGCATCTCTACCCATTAGACTGTAAGTTTCATAAAGTCAGGAACCGGGCGCCTGGGTGGCTCAGTTGGTTAAGCGACTGCCTTCGGCTCAGGTCATGATCCTGGAGTCCTGGGATCGAGTCCGGCATCGGGCTCCCTGCTCGGCAGGGAGTCTGCTTCTCCCTCTGACCCTCCTCCCTCTCATGCTCTCTGTATCTCATTCTCTCTGTCTCAAATAAATAAATAAAATCTTTAAAAAAATAAAAAAATAAAGTTAGGAACCATATGGGCCTGGCCCAGAGTAAGAAATCAATAGATATTGTTGAAAATACATACATACGTACGTACATACATACATACATGCTTACATACAAGTACTGGGGACACAGAAACTCCTCACTCTGGTATGAATGTGACATATGACCTTGAATAAGTGTCCTTCCGGTTCCAGCCTCTGGAACTCCCTCTGTACAGTGAACGGGTGGGCCCTGCTGATCCTGGAGGGCTGTTCCTGCTCTCTGCCATTTTAGCAGGGGCTCAGTTTCATGCCTCTCAATCCAGCCATCCCATACCAGCTCCGCCATGTCATCTTCTCCCCCCCGCAACCCCCAAGCCTTCTGTGATTTCTGCTGCTTCCTCCTGGCCTTTAAGACTCTAAGACATGATATCGACCTACCTCCTGACCTGACCTGCAACCCCTTCACACCCCAAAACAACCCTTCCCCTCAGCCACACTAGGAGTACCACTCCCCCAGCCCCCCTCAGGTCCCGTCAGTGTTGTCCCATCCATTTCCCTCCCCAAACTCCCCCAGCCAGGACACTTTCCCACAGCTCTCTCTCTGCCCGTTGAGATCCTGTTAAATGTGCCTTCTGGAAGCATTCCTGCCCATAAAAGCCTTGGTTCACAGATTCCTAAAAAGCTTTTATGTCACAGTCAGACTCAAAAGCAATAGGGAAAGCTTTCAGGGCAGAGGCAACAGCACGTGCAAAGGCCCTGTGGAGGGAGGAGCATGACTAATGCAGGGGATGGAGCTGGGGAGTGTGGCCTGAGGTGGCCTGGGCAGGTCAGCAGGACCTCGAATTTGTGGACTGTTGGGCTGGGCTCAAGGAGATCTCTCCTCAAAAAACAACTGAACCAATGGCTATATTACAACAAAATGTTTTATTTAATACATAGCCGAGCTCAAAAGAAAGAAAGGGATACTCTCAGGTACTGGAGATGCAGAGAACTGAGAGCTAACACTGTAAGTAAAGTAGCCCAGAGAGGTAAGGATGAGGATGTGGGTTCAAACCACACCGGCCTGGGGTTTTAACACCCTCAGAGGGAAAGAAGTAAGATGAGGAGGTGGGATAAAGACGTTTCCCTTCTGTGAAAAGGAAAGTGAACAAGGCAGCCACAAGGAGTGTTGGGGTGGGGCTGGGTGTGGATATAAATGGAAAACTCCAGCTCATGCACATGCAGTGTTAAAGTATGTATTTATACTGTCAACATGCTGTAGGACTTCCTGAGCTGAGGAAGGAACCTAGAAAAACATCCAGACTAATGAATAAAGTCAACTCTGGGGTTCCTGGCAGAGATAAATGCAAAACCACGCTCTAAGGAAATGTAGGTAATTCAGAGAGCAGTCTGCTCACAGGACAACCAAATTCCGGTAAAGAAGAGCTTGTAAGTAAATGAAAATGAAAATGAAAAGCCATACACGGAAACCATCTACCACAAGAGAGAGCTGGCAAAACACAACCAATTAGAGGATAAGCACCCCAAGGAGCTGATGGAATAGAACCACGTGGAAGAAACTACAAAGGAACTAATTTTTCACTGATTAAGGAAATACAGCCATAATAAAATCACAGGACTCCAGGGATTAAAGAAAGAAAGAAAGAAAGAAAGAAAGAAAGAAAGAAAGAAAGAGAAAGAAAGAAAGAAAGAAAGAAAGAAAGAAAGAAAGAAAGAAAGAAAGAAAGAAAGAAGGAAGGAAGGAAGGAAAGAAAGAAAGAAAGAAAGAAAGAAAAGTTAGCTTGGAAAATGAACTCAATAGAATTTCTAGAAATAAAAATTATTGATATTAAAATGAAAAACTCAGTGAATAAGCAAATGGATTAGACACAGGTATAAAAAGAATGAGAGAATTGAAAGAGGTATCTACAGAAATGATTTAGAATTTAGCATTGAGCTAATAAAGATATGGAAAGCAACTAAGACACGCAGAGCGGCTAAGACATGTGGGGTGGAATGAGAGGGTCCAACATAAGTCTAATGGAAATTCAGGAAGTTAAGAACAGATAAAACAGAGGAGAGGCAGTAATTGTGAGAGACAGTGACTGAGAATTT